ACCCACTCCAACGCGTTGAAATACAATACATATAGAGATATATATGGATATACGAAAACCATTATGAGCATGAAGATATATCCTACGAACTCTAGCTTTAAAACCGGGAATGACTCGACAGATAAGGCTAGACACAAGCAACAGTTATAACGAGCATATGCAGTTCACAAAAGATAAGGCAGACAAGGCAAGCATAAACGATAATCATAACCCAACATGAACAATCCCCAATATAAGTCCCATAGTCACATCCCCCAAGACACTCATAATCACAACTCATCCATATCACAACACATAACACACTTTGTTGGCGCCACAGGACCAATCGCATGCCCATACATGAGGGTCAGCGCATATAGCTCTGACACGGCCCCGCAGCACCCTGCCCCGTATCGCAACATGGAGGGGTCGATCGCAACCGACCGATGAACCGCAGCTCATCATAGTGTTTGATCGCAACCAAACAGTGGACCGCAGCCCAAGAGAATGTCATCTGACCGCAGCCAGGAAAAAGGACGAACCGCAGCTCGTATAGAAACGTTTGATCGCAACCAAACGGTGGACCGCAGCCCAAGAGTATCAATCTGACCGCAGCCAGCTTCTGAACCGCAGCTCAGGATCACCAATCCGATCGCAACCGAATTGGGGTAGCACACACATAACACGTAGCAAGCACATGCAACCCACATTACACATTAGGAAGGGGGAGAAAGCGCATAACAAAACCTATGCGTGATCCATCACATACTAAGAACAGTCCTAAGGGGTTCATACTTCTTCCACCTAGGTCAATGGGGTACCAATTCAACCAGCATGCAATATAATAGACTCATAAACCTACGAACGGTACCCGAAACATCAAACTAGACATAGGCACGATAAACGGGGTCCGTTGGGACACCACGGGGAACGGGGAACGTCAAACGGGGAAGCCGGGGTCCCGGGTGGGACGACTTTCCAGCGGGTAGCCGGTGGGTGGTGGGCCACCCGCCGGCTGCCCGCCGGGTTCTACTGTTCCGGGCAGCGGGTCGCGGGCGGGCAGCTGCCCGCCCGCCGGCCACCCGCTGCCAGGCGGTGGTTTACGGCTATGGGTAGGTGGCGGGTCCCCTACCCCCCACCTACCCCCCACTGACTCTTTTCACACACTTTACGCCCCGGGAACCGTTATGGAACCCGAAACCATGCTTAGACACTTTACAACACAATTTACGACAACCCGTAGACAATTAACGAATCAAATACGAGGAACGAACGGCACATAACCTATCATGCTTTTCTAAGTATAATCAACACCCAAACATGCGATTTCCCCACCCGATAATCCAAGAATAAGATCATACGATACAACCTAGGGTTCTAATCACTTTTATATCAACAAGAATACGGTTCGTCTTCTAATTGCAAGATTCGGTAAGAATAAAACATAATCATCAAGATCATCACCCAATTATCAAGAACAACACATAATCATCAGGAACTCCATATAATCATCAAGAATATCATAATTATCAAGAATCTCTCAATATCAAGATTATCAAGATCCCCCATGGGATCATCACATCAATCATCAACAATAATTATCACAAGTCATTAATACACAATAATATGGGGAAACCCTAAGGGGGAAATCATAGCTATAAAAATAGGTTTTGTTGAGACATGGGTTACCTCTTAGCCTTAATTAATTCCTTGGCTATGAAGGATCTTTCTTTAAGCTTTCTTGCTTTCTTGATTTCTTCTAAGGGAATTCTTGGAGCTCTCCTGGGGTGGTGGGGCGTCTAGGCGTGTGGGGGTTCTAGGTGCTCCCTAAGTTCTCTATTTATAGATCCAAGGGTTTATTTAGAGTTTAATCCTATTGGGGTTAGGGGTTGGGTTTATATATTTGGGCCCATGGGCTACGGTGGCCTTTTTCCCTAATTAATCATTATAATTTATTCTTTCTCCTGGGCTATTAATTAATTAATTAATCAATTGGTTTTAGGATTCGTAACACGGGGTGTTACACTGTATATTAGCTCTCGTAAACTGCCTAGAGCAGCAGTTAGATCATTCATCATCATTTGTAATCAACCTTTCCCTCTCAATGCAAAGTTACTGTTTCATCGCATAGCTCAACTTCCATCAAAGTAAATTGCAAAAAGTGTACACGCTATATTTCTCATTCATTCTCTCTAGGTATAAGGATACTTTATAAAATGTGGCCAAAATTGTTACTAAAATATTTTAAACTAAAGATCAAGCAGGAATGCAAAAGCTCATCAACTAGAAATATTTTCCCGTCCTAGCATCCAAATTAAAATCAAATCCTCCAAAAGATAGTTGTAATCAAACAACTTTGCTGTATATATATATATATATATATATATATATATATATATATATATATATATATATATATATATATATATAAACTACACACAGTCAGAAAACACAACATAATCCTAACAAATAAAAAGAAGCACAAGAACAAGCCAGTAACCGACCAAATTACACAGAACTTCAAAAGTAAACATATGGCACTCTTGTAGTCCATAAAACCATAAACCTCTTATTGCATTAAACTCAAAAAATTACATTCCATCATTAATCATCAACAAGAATGAGAGAAGGGATATCTAGATCATATTTGAAAGTGAGAATGAGAATGTTCAAATAGCAAATACAACTGCACAATGGATAGTTCAATTCTATTGTACTCCCTAATCTTTATTTGTTCAATTCTACTCATTCTATTCTATTCTATCATATTCTACTCTAGTTAAAATTCTGAACTAACTTCAACAAGAAATCACTGAATTTTTATAGGTAAAAAAGATTACCTCAGTACGTAGATCCCTTCACAGATTCAGACCTTCAATAACAAACTTAAGATCATAGTACCTGCAGAATTAGTATTCCCACCAGAAAAAGTCAAGTATATTAATTATTACAGGAAATATTGGTTAGTCCAATAAACATTTTTAACTACTTCCTCTAGCAATGGAGATTCCTTAAGCTTGTTCCAACTCAAGATATACAAAATTGAATCTTGTTTCACTGAATAACTCACTCCAAGTTAACATATATTCTACTCTTGTTAAACTTCTGAACTAACTTCAAGAAGAAATCACTGAATTTTTATAGGTAAAAAAGATGACCTCAATACGTAGATCCCTTCACAGCTTCAGACCTTCAGTACCAAACTTAAGTAGTACCTGCAGAATTAGTATTCCCACCAGAAAAAGTCAAGTATATTAATGATTATAGAAAATATAGGGAAGTCCAATAAACATTTTTACAAACTTTTTAAAGCGGAAAAGCGCACTAAATCAACAAGGTCGGGCTTTGCTTTAAAGCGAAAGCGCAAAGTGAAGCGTTGCTTTTTCACAAAAAGTGACGCTTTTAATATATATAAATTATACATATATATATAGTCAAAAACTTCAAATAATTATGCAAAATAACATTCAAAATAACTCCTAAAGTGATAAAGTGACAACATCATAATAATACAAACATCATAAAGTCACAACATCATAACAACACAACATAAAGTCACAAGTCACAACACAATCATTCATAGACTCGTAGTCATTCAATCCTCCAAATCAAACTCATCTTCATCTTCACACAATTCCAAATTGTCAAATTCCATAACTCCATCATCCTCACATGCTTCTTCCTCATCTTCATCATCTTCATCTTCATCTTCATTCACCTTTTCCTTTCCCTTAGACCTTGAAGTTGAACTCCCAACCTTTTCTTTTCCTTTTGAAGCACGCCTAAGAGAATAAGGAGTTTCATTTGCACCCGAAAATTTAGCAATGTCACCCAAGTCAAGCTATCCCCATCACCAAACACCAACTCCCCATTTGCATCCTCCGGGATACCAACCGACCATTCATTGACAAAATCAATTTGATCCAAACTAATTGGACCAATGGTATCCCACATTTCCCATCGTCGCCTCAATGCCCTATTATACTTAATGAAAACCAAATCATTAAGGCGCATGTGTTCAAGGTGACTCCTCCTTTTCGAATGCAACTGGAATATTTAAAATGAATTAGTGCTTGAATATGTTATAATTGTTAAGAGAAAATTTCAATTTTGGTCCACTGACTATTGCACTTGTGTTAATTGCAACACTTGACTTTCAAAAATGTTAATTTAGTACCTTGACTATGCAATTTCTATCAATTTTGGTCACGCCGGCCAAATTGCCTGCCAAATCTCACCGGAAAAAATTAATTGGTCAACTAATGGGTGTATTTTAGTCATTTTACTTATTTTTTCTTTCTTCCCCATGAGCTTCTCCATTTTCAGTGAGCTTCTCCATTTCCAGTGAGTAGCAATATGAACATCTATCAGGACCACTTTTAACTAATGCTCATTTATCAAAGTTATTCCAGGTCAAATAAATCTCCCACCTCAAAGAAATAAAAAAAGAATACGTTTCTGGCTGGGAATGATTCCCGAATAAATTGGAAACCAAGGTTCTCAATCCTCTTCAATTCCCCGGCAGTACCGGACTCGTCCATCTTGTTCAGGCATTCGAAGTGAGTCAAGTAGTCATTGCAAATCCAATCAAATTCATTGATGAACACGTGTGGAATCCATTTAGACATAAAGAAGCAATATATCGTCCATACTGACAATTTTGTTGTCCAGACTAGACGATTGAGCAATAATTCCAGATTTGAGGCAGTTCTTAACCATCTTTGCGGCTCTACAGTCAAGCAGGGTCTTAATTGGAAAAGAAGCTCACCGGAAATAGAGAAGCTCATGGGGGAAGAAAGAAAAAATAAATAAAATGACTAAAATACCCCCATTAGTTGATCAATTAAATTTTTTCGGTGAGATTTGGCCGGCAATTTGGCCGGCGTGACCAAAATTGATAGAAATTGCATAGTCAAGGTACTAAATTAACATTTTTGAAAGTCAAGTGTTACAATTAACACAAGTGCAATAGTCAGTGGACCAAAATTGAAATTTTCTCTAATTGTTTTTTACTTATTTACTTCTAAATTGACTAACTTACATGCTCAAAGACACTTCAGTTCCGTTCACATCCGGACGCACTAGTCGTAAGACTAAGAAGCTTAATTGCAAATTCTTTCAAATGTGTAGCTGAACCCCCAAAATTTGATTATAAATAAAAATTGTAAGTTAAATCGTCTAAGAAGTAAGAACCTGGAGCTTTAGAACCGCGTTGCTTCTTGGCAACTGGCAAGCCAAACAAACCATCCTCGGTTTCCCACATTGTTATTTCCTCGGTAATTTTGTCATGCAGATCTTGATCTCGAACCAACCTCTCCAAACAAGAATAAAAGCTAGCAACATCTTCTGGCGAATTAATTATTGGAGAAATCTGTGGCTCACCCCTATACCGGAAGTAATCTGGATTCAAGTAATACGCAGCTGCATGCAATGGTTGACGAAACCGGGAAGTCCACCTTTTGTCTAGGATCTCAAATACCTTCTTGTACTTGTTTGTGTTGTTATCGAAAGCCGTTTCAATTGCTTTCTTTGTGATCTCCATCGTAGGATAAATATAGCCCATTGGTGGCTTAACATCCCCATTAACTAACCGAAGGGTGCTAATCAATGGGCCGCCTATTTTAAGTGTTTCTAGAACTGTATTCCAAAAGCTTGGCATTTGCACAATTCTAGAACACTCTTTTCCTGCCTCTTCTTTGAAGTAAGAGCTAGTAAGGAATTCTTTTGAGTTGAACAATTTCCTGAAATTGTTCTTCTGCTCGTGAAGCCTCTTTAATGTCAAGAATGTGGTAGAAAACCGAGTCTTAGCAAACTTGACCAAGTCACGCTTCCCGGTATACTTCCTCAACCAATTCAAAAGCTTTGTCTTTGAATGGATATACACCGATAACTTCAAATCCCGCTTGTACGTCATTGCAAAATGGCGAATCTCAAAGATGTCTTTAAACATCAAATTGATGCAATGGGCAGCGCATGATGTCCAGTACAAAGTCGGGTACAACTCCATTAAATCCTTGCCTAAATTATGTAAACAATTAATAGGTAAAGAAATTTAAAAGTTAAATTCTTAATATAAAAAACAAATATTTTAAACATACCAGCTCTCACATTCTCTGAAGCATTGTCAGATATGACTTATACAACTTTATCCATCCCCACTTGATTCACAAAAGTACCAAAGAGGGTCAAGCATTTTGTTAGCATCCACCATGTCTTTGCTAACATCTACCAACTTGAGAAAATACGATCCAAGTGAACAATTAACTAGGATATTTATAAATGCACGACCTCTCCTATCTGTCCACTTGTCCATCATCAAAGAACAACCATATGCATTGCATGTCTCCTCATGTGGCTTGAACAACTCCTTAACATGCTAAACTTCCTTCTTAAGATATGACACTCTAACTTCATGATAGGAAGGTGGCTTCATTCCCGGTCCATGTTGTGCAACGCACTCAATAAAGTCTTGTAAGATTTTAGTGTATTGAACACAATTAAATGGTAGTCCGGCCTCATACATCCACCGTGAAAATTGCACCATAGCCCTCTCCCTCAACTCCTTCTTACATGCATCCAATGTTACTTGCTCACCGCATTTTTGCCCTTTTCAAACTTTGGTGCTCCTTTTTATTAAAATACAAATCCATAGGACCTTTAACTGATTTGTTAGAAGATGCCAAACTAGATCCCATCACCGGATTTCCCACCACCTACGGGAAATCCATATCATCATCACCTTCGTCATCAAAGTTTGAAGGAACACCCATTGAAGCCGTTGAACTCACCTCCTCCTTTCTTTGCTTCTTATTTAGCATAATCTCTCTCATTGCATCCCTAACAACTTGAGGACATTTTCTACATGCTTGCACATTTCTATTTCCTCCCACGAGATGCAATTTATGCCTATAAATACCACCGGTCGTTACTTTTTCACAATACTTGCAATGCACTTGTGTAGTGCCTTTATCCAAAACCGGTGTGCCATCATCCCATCCCGGATCTTGCTTTTTTGCATTAGACATTCTTATAAATGATAATAGTCACCTACAAAACTACAAAGTATTCAAGAATTAACATTCAAGAATAAAATACTCAACTAACTAACTGTAAATTGTAATTTTCAAAATTCATTAACTTTTATTAACTCTTAATCTTATTAGTTATTATAATTAATTATCATTTATTCATTTAATAAAAACTAATTATTAAATGAACTAAGATAAAAGTCTAAAACACAATAAAAGTCCTAATAGGCTACTGCCTACTGCCTACTGCCTAACTGCCACTGCCTAAGTCAATACATATAAATATATAACATATGTATAATACTATGTTTGGAATATATTGTAATAGATTTTGATATGCCAAGTTGTATTTTAGAATCCCCAATTTTATTTGTTAAGTCTAGGCGTGTCATAGACCATGAAAGGAAAATTAACAAATATGAAGAAAGGGAAAAATACGAAGAAGAAGATGTATACATATGATATGTATACTAAAATAAGCCCACATGCCCAACTCAAAGAAGAAGTCATACTGATGAAATCTCATACGAAGAAACGAGAAGCAAACGCAATTTCATGAAGTTGTCTTGAAGATCAAACATCTATGGAAAGAAAGAAGTACATAAAAAAGAATGCTATAATGATTAATAATTCGTATAGGTGAGATGGATGAAAGCTTGATGTATAAATTGCAAGGTTTTAGGTTCGAAACTCATTCCCTACAATTTTATAAGGCAAATTTAAAGAAGCCTGGTTTCGAAACTAAAGAAGAGATGAAGTTAGAGCAGAGGTTTCAAAAGGAGGTTAGAGATGCGGTTGCAGGAAACTAAGTTGGAGCAGAGGTTTCAAAAGTAGTTTCGAAATCATGAGATGAAAAGTTTCAATAGAGGGAGATGAAACTAAGTTGGAGCAGAGGTTTCAAAAGCAGTTTCGAAATCATGAGATGAAACTAAAGAAGAGATGAGATGAAGAAAAAGTAGTTTCGAAATCATGAGATGAAAAGTTTCAATAGAGGGAGATGAAACTAAGTTGGAGCAGAGGTTTCAAAAGCAGTTTCGAAATCATGAGATGAAACTAAAGAAGAGATGAGATGAAGAAACTAAAGAAGAGATGAGATGAAGTTTCAATAGAGGTTTCAAAACTAAAGAAGAGATGAGATGAAGTTTCAATAAAGAAGAGATGAGATGAAGTTTCAATAGAGGGAGATGAAGTTTCGAAACTAAAGAAGAGATGAGATGAAGTTTCAATAGAGGTTTCAAAACTAAAGAAGAGATGAGATGAAGTTTCAATAGAGGGAGATGAAGTTTCAATAGAGGTTTCGAAACTAAAGAAGAGATGAGATGAAACTAAAGAAGAGATGAGATGAAGTTTCAATAGAGGTTTCGAAACTAAAGAAGAGATGAAGTTAAAGCAGAGGTTTCAAAAGGAGGTTAGAGATGTGGTTGGAGATGAAGTTTCAAAAGAAGTTTCGAAACTAAGTTGGAGCAGAGGTTTCAAAAGCAGTTTCGAAATCAATTAAATAATAGAGATTGGAGAAGGAGTTTCGAAATCAATTTAATAATAGAACTTGGAGACAAGGTTAGAGATGCGGTTGGAGATGAAGTTTCAAAAGAGGTTTCGAAACTAAGTTGGAGCAGAGGTTTCAAAAGCAGTTTCGAAATCAATTAAATAATAGAGATTAGAGATGAAGTTAGAGATGAAGTTAGAGATGCGGTTTGCAAGTCAAAGTTAGAGATGCGGTTTGCAAGTCAAAGTCTTCATAAGTCAAGTTAGAGATGCGGTTTTCAAGTCAAAGTCTTCATAAGTCAAGTCAAGATGAAGTTAGAGATGCAGTATGGGATGAAGTTAGAGATGCAATTTGCAAGTCAAAGTCAAAGAGATGAAGTTAGAGATGCAGTATGTGATGAAGTTAGAGATGCAATTTGCAAGTCAAAGTCAAAGAGATGAAGTTTCATCAAGCTATATATAGTAAGAGCTGAAGTTAGAGATGAAGTTTCAAAAGCTATATATAGTAAGAGCTGAAGTTGGATATGAAGTTTCAATCAAGGATTGAATTCTCACCATCAAAATGAGACCCAGATCAAGAGATCTCATTGGTCGAACATAAACAACTTCATCAGTAGCCATACAGAGAGATTAAAATACACAGAAGATAGAAGTCCAAGAAGGCATGATCTACACCAGAATTATTTTAAGGAGCACCTTCACGTGAAGACACGATCTGCATCAAAATTATTTTAAGAGTCTCTTCACATGGATCAAGAGCTGAGCAACGGCCGAAATATCTCAAATGTCAGAGATATTATTTTCTGAGAAAGCTACAGATCCTCTGCAAAGGCTACAAGAATTCAAATCTAAGATTTGAAATTCAAATTTGAGATTGTCTTCTTCCAACGGACAACTTCTCAAAACCAGCTATAAAAAGATGAAGAATGAAGCAGATCAAAGCACTTCCAACACAAGAAACGAACAGTACATACGAACAAGTGCTATACTCATAGAGAAAATATTCAGGTGAGAAAAACACTCAGAGCTCAAGAGAACAAGAGTGTTCAAATTCTTCATCATTGAGAGACTTGCTGCATACTGAAGATCCATTCAAGAAGTCTCAAAGTTGGAAGCCAGTGAAACTTATTTTTCTACAAACAAGTGAAACAGCAGTGTTGGAGAACACTGGACGTGATTAGTGCGGCCTTTGTGATCAAAGCACTAGATCATGGGATACGTCGAAGACGGGGGGAAAGTAGCACGGAGTTGTGAAATCCTGGATTGTCACACGAAGCTGTGAGATCCGAAACAGCAGTGTCGGAGGCACTGGGTGTGATTGGTGTGGGCTTGGTGATTAAAGCACCAGATCACGGGATACGTCGACCAGATCGTGGAAGACGGGGGGGGGGGGGGGGGAGTAGCACGGAGCTGTGAAATCCTGGAAAGTAACACGGAGCTGTGAAATCCGAAGCAGCAGTGTTGGAGGCACTGTGCGTGATTAGTGTGGGCATAGTGATCAAAGCACTAGATCACGGAAATTCATTGTATCTAGGAACCAAGAAGTGGTGGATATAGTGAATTGCTCTTGGACGATAGGAGCAAGTGAAGTAGGGGGATTACATCACCTCCGAACCACTATAAATTTCCTTGTGTCATTTACTGCTTTATTTACTTTCTGCTTATCACGTTGATATACTTGACACAATCACACAACTCGTATTTATTTATTCCGCTGCGTACAAGACTCTAACAATCTAGTTAAGAGTCTTGATCTCTCTATCGCCTCAACAATTGTTGTATTCACAAAAACATTTAAAAGTCTATTCACGCCCCCCCCCCTCTAGACTTTTACCACACCCCCTTTGGGACCAACACACTATAATGTATCTTCCATCTTTACGGAAGAGGAAATGGAAAAAAAATGTAAACAGCGAATCAGCGATACCAGTCGGCAGTGTGAACGGCGAGTAGGGCAGCAAGCTGCAGGCGAGGAGGACAGAGGTGAGAGAACGACGGTGAGCGATGGGCGTATGGGCGAGGCGGCGAGGGCGGCGGTCGGCGAGAAGGGATAGGCAGAGAGCAGCGGAGGCAGAGAGGGAGAAGCGGCGACTGTGGGTTTTGGTCTCTTCCAATCGCAGTCGCGCCGCGATATTAGCTTAGGCCTTAGGTTTAATCTTTTTTTCTTTTTTTTTTTTTTAAACTGACCGTTGACTGCGCTATTAGTGACAAAGCAACGCCTTTCACCGCTTTGCCGCTTTAACGCTTTGGCCGAAAATCGCAAAATGCGCTCGCTTATTCACAAACCGGCGCCTCACCAAGGCGAAGCGATTGTCCATCGCTCACGTCGCTTTTGCGCTTAAAGCGCAAAAGTGCGCTTTTCATAAGTTTGCATTTTTAACTACTTCCTCTAGCAATGGAGATTCCTTAAGCTTGTTCCAACTCAAGATATACAAAATTGAATCTAAATGGAAAACCCAAGACTGAGTTTAGAACATTAGGAAGGGTAAGTAAACCTAATTGATTAAACCGAATAAAACCTAAAAGACGAGGTTTGGATTGTTGCCTTCGAAGATGGTGAAGAGCAGAAATTGAGACACACAAATATCCAACAAGAAATTCAAGCACATACCTCGAATTTGGAAGTGAACGGAGGCGCAAGGGAGGCGGAGCCCTCGTTGGCGGCTGTGGCAGGGCAGGCGGAGTCTTCCATCGTCGTCGTTGGCTCCTGCTCGCAGGAGAGGAGGAATCGTAGGGGAGGCGGACAACGGAGTAGGAACACATCAAAAAATTTTAAAACTGCCATATCCTTGGAAGAGGAAACATAATGGCTAAATTCCAATGATGACTGGCGAGTGTGAATCCCTGTATTAAGCCGATAACCTACGAAGTACTAAACGGAGAACTAACTGGAAAATCTAAGATTATTAACAGATTCAATAACAGTGTGTGGGTATTTAGGGAAAACTCTTCAAAAAATTAAAATTGGAATAATCAGAGCTATTCATTTAATCTAATTATTTGAAAAAAATTTAAATTGGAGCAATCTGAGCCATTCATTTGATCTAATTATTTGACCGTGATTTTTTCTACCCATTTTAGGCTTAACTCTCTTGGGCTCTTTATATATATATATATATATATATATATATATATATATATATATATATATATATATATATATATATATATATATATATATATATATACACACACACACACTAGTATTTTCGCCTGTGTGATGACGGAATAAATGTGTTGTAATATATTAAAAATATTTGGATCGATATATAATTATTTCAATTAGAACTTCAAATATTATATAGTGCAATTGAAGATATGGTTTAGATCGTTTATAT